GACCTCATGGGCCGTCTGGGGCCGTCGGAGAGCTGAAAAAAAGAACATGCCAAAATCCTTCAAAAACCTAAGGAACATCAATGATTTTAATCTATTCGGGCCTTCCTGGAGGGCGTCTTGGAGGGCTCTTGGGCCGTCTTGGAGGCCTTTTGCCGGCCTTTTGGGCCGTCGTAGACCATCTTGAGGCCATCTTGGACCGTCTTGGGTGCATCTTGGAGCCATGTTACCCGTCTTGGAGGCCATCTTGGCCGTCTTGGAGGCATCTTGGAGGCCATCTTGGGCCATCTTGGCCGTCTTGGAGGCCATCTTGGGCGTCTTGGAGGCCTCTTGGGCCGTCTTGAGGCCCTCTTGGGGCCTTCTTGGGGGCCTCTTGGGCCGTCATGGGGCCATCTTGGAGGCCTCTTGGGTGCTGTTGGGGCGATGTTGGGGACCTCTTGGGCCGTCTTGGGCCGTCGGAGAGCTGAAAAGAAGAACATGCCAAAATCCTTCAAAAACCTAAGGAAAATCAATGATTTTAACCTATTCGGGCCTTCCTGGAGGGCGTCTTGGAGGGCTCTTGGGCCGTCTTGGAGGCCTTTTGCTGGCCTTTTGGGCCGTCTTAGACCATCTTGAGGCCATCTTGGGCCGTCTTGGGTGCATCTTGGAGCCATCTTACCCGTCTTGGAGGCCATCTTGGCCGTCTTGGAAGCATCTTGGAGGCCATCTTGGGCCATCTTGGCCGTCTTGGAGGCCATCTTGGGCCAAGTTGGGGCAACAAAGGCATTGACAGATGGATTTTCAGAAACTTGCGGGTGGCCGGCGGGACGGGCCGAAGCCCACTGGGGAGTTCTTTTAGACAAAGAACCAAAACCAAAACCTGAAACATCCAGCACGCCGTGCACCCATGTGGCAAGCAAGACCACAGGGGGCGGCGGATCTATCGAAGACGCCTACGGCGAATCACCGCCGCCCCCTGCCTTTTTGGAAACGCCGATGTGGCCGAAAGTTGGACTAGAGCTTGGCCAAGCTATCGGACCATGAGTTCCCCGAGTCGGTTTGGAAAGCTTTCGGGGAACACATGGGAGAGAATGATTATGAACAGGAAGAGGAAGAGGAAGAAATAGAGTAGGAGGATGAGGGTTGTTAGGAGTCTCTTGGGGCACCCTTGGGGTCTGTTGGGGGCTTCTTGGGGGCCTCTTCGAGGCCTCTTGGAGGCATCTTGGGGGCCTCCTTGGGCCTCTTGGGGGCCTTTGGGGGCTTCCTGGGGGTCTCTTTGGCCGTCTTAGGGCGTTCCTGGTCCGTCTGACGCCGTCTGGAGCCGTCTTGGGGGCCTCTCTGGGCCGTCTTGGGGCCCTCTTGGGGCGCTTCAGGGCCGTCTTGGAGGCCATGTTGGGCGTCTTGGAGGCCTCTTGGGCCGTCTTGGGGCGCTCTTGGGGCCGTCTTGGGGGGCCCTTGGGCCGTCATAGGGCCTTCTTGGAGGCCTCTTGGGCGATCTTGGGGGCCTCTTGGGCCGTCGGAAGGCCGAAAAGAAGAAAACGCAAAAAACCTTCAAAAACCTAAGGAAACCAATGATTTTGGCCTCTTCGGGCTCTCCTGGAGAACGTCTTGGAGGCCTCTTGGGCCATCTTGGAGGCATCTTGGGGCCATCTTGGCCGTCTTGGAGGGCATCTTGGGCCGTCTTGGAGGCATCTTGGAGCCATCTTACCCGTCTTGGAGGTCATCTTGGCCGTCTGGGAGGCATCTTGGAGGCCATCTTGGGCCATCTTGGCCGTCTTGGAGGCCATCTTGGGCCAAGTCACCCGTAATTTTCCCAAAATCCGTCTGTCAATGCCTTTGTTGCCCCAACTTTGCCCAGGATGGCCTCCAAGACGGCCAAGATGGCCCAAGATGGCCTCCAAGATGCCTCCCAGACGGCCAAGATGGCCTCCAAGACGGGTAAGATGGCTCCAAGATGCCTCCAAGACGGCCCAAGATGCCCTCCAAGACGGCCAAGATGGCCCCAAGATGCCTCCAAGATGGCCCAAGAGGCCTCCAAGACGTTCTCCAGGAGAGCCCGAAGAGGCCAAAATCATTGGTTTTCCTTAGGTTTTTGAAGGTTTTTTGCGTTTTCTTCTTTTCGGCCTTCCGACGGCCCAAGAGGCCCCCAAGATCGCCCAAGAGGCCTCCAAGAAGGCCCTATGACGGCCCAAGGGCCCCCCAAGACGGCCCCAAGAGCGCCCCAAGACGGCCCAAGAGGCCTCCAAGACGCCCAACATGGCCTCCAAGACGGCCCTGAAGCGCCCCAAGAGGGCCCCAAGACGGCCCAGAGAGGCCCCCAAGACGGCTCCAGACGGCGTCAGACGGACCAGGAACGCCCTAAGACGGCCAAAGAGACCCCCAGGAAGCCCCCAAAGGCCCCCAAGAGGCCCAAGGAGGCCCCCAAGATGCCTCCAAGAGGCCTCGAAGAGGCCCCCAAGAAGCCCCCAACAGACCCCAAGGGTGCCCCAAGAGACTCCTAACAACCCTCATCCTCCTACTCTATTTCTTCCTCTTCCTCTTCCTGTTCATAATCATTCTCTCCCATGTGTTCCCCGAAAGCTTTCCAAACCGACTCGGGGAACTCATGGTCCGATAGCTTGGCCAAGCTCTAGTCCAACTTTCGGCCACATCGGCGTTTCCAAAAAGGCAGGGGGCGGCGGTGATTCGCCGTAGGCGTCTTCGATTCTTTTAGAAAAAGAACCAAAACCAAAACCTGAAACATCCAGCACGCCGTGCACCCCTGCAAGCAGGGGGCGGCGGATCGTGGCCTTCGGCCCATCCCGCCACCGTGCCTTGGTCGTCGGCCTGAGATCCTCTTTGCCTCTTGGGCCCCCTCTGAGGCCGTTTTGGGGCGGAAGGCTCGGATTGTTGGTTCAGGCTCCCCCTCTTGGGCCCCTCTTTGGGCCGTCTTGGGGCACTCCCAGGCCGTCTTGGGAGCCTCTTGGGCCGTCTTGGCGCCCTCTTGGGCCGTTTCGAGCGCCTCCTGGGGCCTCTTGGGCCGTTTTGGGGCGGTCTTGGGGGACCCTGGGGCCGTCTTCAACGCCGTGAAGGCAGAAAAATCGTGCAGGATAAAGATGTACGTTCTCCAACAGGAATTCGACGATGTTGGCTTCTTGGGTCCCTCTTGGGAATGCTCTTGGAGGCTTCTGGGGCCGATCCTGGGCGTCTTGGGCCGACCTCTGGGCGTCCCGGGGGCCTCTTGGGCCGTCGTGGGGGCTGCTTGGAGCCCTCTGGGGCCTCGTGAGGCCTGATGACACCTTTGCCCCCCCCCCCCCCCCTTCCTCCAAACCGGCCGGACTGGGTTCCCGAGAAAGGGGTTTGGGGAGGGGAAGCATCTCACACGCCGTCACCCCAACGGGTCGGCGGATTTGTGTTGGCATCCCCATGGGTATCCAAAGGAATCCTATGGATTTCCATTGGATTTCTATTGCTTCCCATGGGATGCTTATGGGTTTCCCAGAGCCCTATGGATTGCCTAAGGAATCCCATGGATTCCCTCAGGAATCCGTTGGTATCCTGAGAAAATTAGAAGGATGTGTTTTTAGTATCTGTATGAACGTTCACGATCAGATTGATCAGCATCATCGTCATCGTCTTCACCATTATGCCGAGATCTCCGGGATAACGTTTATTATTCCCGCTGGACCCCAGACTTTATTATCCCAGGAGGAGTTTTACCGGAAGGTGTCGGTTAGGATGTTCCAACTTACTTCAGCCGGCATCAGCCGACATAGTTTCGAGAAGCAAGAACATACCGACACCGAAGGGTTTTCTCGTGTCGGGTTCTGGGAGGCGGTAATCGTTCGACACTGTTGCTACATTTTTCCGTGTGCTCGAAATAATTCTAGACGTTTCGCGAATCCCCACCAGCCCATCCATAACCGGAAGTGCGGGAGCAAAGAGGTGGACGGCCGAACCGCGCGAAGGAGGGAGGAGGAGAAGAAGGAGGCTGGATGGATGGATGAGGGAGTGGGGAGAAAAAAAAGATGATTCGGATGATGAGGAGGAGGAGGAGGAAAAGGAGGAGGAGGAGGAAGAGAAGGAGTAGGAGGGAGGAGGAGGAGGAGGAGGAGGAGGAGGAGGAGGAGTGAGCAAAAGGATGAGGAGGAGGAGGAGAAGGAGGAGAGAGGAGGAGGAGGAGCAAAAGGGACAGAGGCCTCTTGGATGCCCCTCGGAGTTTCTTGGGATATCGCTTGGGCGCTTCTTGGTGGCATCTTGGGACGTCTTTGGGGGTCTCTTGGCGGTCCTTAGGGGGCTCCTGGGCCTCTTCGGCGCATCGGGGGGGCCTCTCTTGGAGCGTCTGGGGGGCGCCTTGGGTGCCTCGGGAATCCTCTTGAAGCCTTCGGGGGGCCCCTTAGGGGGTCTCTCGGAGGCCCCTCGGGGCTGCTGGGCGCCTTTTGGGGGCCCTCTTGGGGCGCTCTTGGGAGCTTTTTAGTGGCGCTCTTCGGGGCATCTTGGAGCCCATCGATCCAAACAGGAGGGAAGCTCCAATTAGCGACCCCCCCCCAAGAGGCCAGAATGGGGCCAAAGCCGTAATACAACCAATGATTTTGTCTTCCTCGCCGAGGCCGTTTTGGATGCTCCAACGCGTCGTGGCCCCCCCGTCCAGGTCCAGGGGAGGGGGTAAGGGGGAGGGGTGAATCCCTCCCAGGAGAGGAAGAATGGTAATTGGAAGAGGAAGGAAGCTCCCTGGACCACCTACGCCCAGAGGGCTGGTGGGATTTCTGGTATTGGGTCCTGGAGTACGATGGGAGCAACCTCATCCCTGCCAGGTGGAGGGTTTCTCCGAATGGCTTAGGCGACCCCTCCTCCTCCTCCTCCTCCCCCTCCTTGTCCTCCTTTTACTATTCATCCTCCTCCTCCTTCTCCTCCTCCTCCTCCTCCTCCTCCTCCTCCTCCTCCTCCTCCTCCTCCTCCTCCTCCTCCTCCTCCTCCTCCTCCCCCTCCTCGCCTTCCCCTCCTCGGGCCGCCCGCGGCCCCGTGGGCCACCGACCCACTGCCAGGAACTGGACCAGCGCCGCCGAGGATAGCGGGGACTCCGGCCAGCTCCTGAGGCGGGGCCGGCCCGCGGCCCCCCTCTGAGGGCGGCGCGCCTCCGGCGGCCGCCCCACGCCGCGAGGCGCCCGCCGTGCTCGGCCTCGGCAGCGCGCGCGGGGTCGCGCTCCCGCGCCCGGCCACGCGCAGGCCCAGAGATCCAACGCACTAAAACATTCAAGATGGAGGTGCTTCGCAAATTTCGGCCCCTCCTCCTCCTCCTCCTCCTCCTCCTCCTCCTCCTCCTCCTCCTCCTCCTCGCCAGGCCTCGGGACCGTCCAAAAAACGACTCAGGATGAAAAACCGGTCCTGGGGACTGGGTCGGGACTTCTGGGGGCCCCGTCTGGAAAGAATCACGACGTCGGATCTCTGGGGAGGGGGGTGGGTGGAGGGGGGAGGGCTTCTTGGAAGCACCCCTGCTTCTTAGAAGGCGCGGTCCTTGTCTACAGATGTGAGGCCGGCGCCTTCCGAGAAGCAGCCTCCTTCTTCTAGGAAGCCCTCCCCCGTTCCTCCACCCCCTTGTGCGCACCGCCAGCTCGCTTCGAGAGAAGAAGCCCAGAGGAGGATAAGGTACCCATACCTCTACCCTTCCCTCTTTTTCCCCTTTCTGGGGCCTCGGAAGCCTCGTCGCCACCGCTGGATTCGCCTCGAACTCTTGGTCAGAACGCATCCCGGGAGGGGTCCGGGAGTAGCGGTGTCGGTAGCTTTCGGTTTCCCCAGGCACGATCTTTAGGGCCAGGATGTCGCGAATGTTGTCGAGGCCGCTGGTGGTGATGGGCCACGCTGGCCGTCGCGCATTCGCGAGGATAAGCCACGGATCGACGACCAAGCTGAGCAATGACTAAGACCGTCACCAGCGCGTCCGCGTCTGGTCTTGGTCCAGGTCGTGGCACCCTTTCCCTCCATCGATTGTTTCTGGGGCACAACTTCAGTGTCTAGGCTATGGTCACCTCTCGCTGTTGATCCTTTTTCTTCCCAACCATCCTTTGAAGGGACAGCGCCCCGCGTTCCTCCTCTCCTCTACTCTCCTCCTCCTCCTCTTCTCTCCTCTCCTCCTCCTCCTCCTTCCCCACCTCCCTTCTCCCATCATCATCATCATCATCATCATCATCATCATCATCATCGTCATCATCATCATCATCATCATCATCATCATCATCATCATCATCATCATCATCATCATCATCTTCATCATCATCATCATCATCATTATCATCATCATCATCATCATCATCATCATCATCATCATCCTTCTCATCATTATCACCATCATCATCCTCCTGCTCCTCCTCTTCCTCCTCCTCATCATCATCACAATCGTCATCATCATCGTGGCCCCATAGGGAGCTCCTCCCAAAATTCCAGTGGCGCAGTTCGCATGCGTCTTCCTCACCCAGTACAGCGTTTCGTGGCCCCAGAGGGAGCTCCACCCAAGGTCCCAGTGGTGCAGTTCGCATGCGTCCCCCCCACCCAGTACTGCGTTTGGTCCCGTTGGCGCAGTCGCATGCGTCTCCCCCACCCAGTACTGCGCTTCGTGGCCCCATATGGAGCTCCACCGAAGGTCCCACTGGCGCATTTCTCATGCGTCACCCCCACCCAGTACAGAGTCTCGTTGCCCCAGTGGGAGCTCCTCCCAAGGTCCCAGTGGCGCAGTTCGCATGCGTTCCCCCCCCCACCCAGTACAATGTTCCGTGGCCCCAGAGGGAGCGCAGTTCGCATGCGTCGCCCTCACACAGTACAACGTTGCCTTGCCCCACAGGGAGCTTCACCGAAGGTCCCGTTGGCGCAGTCGCATGCGTCTTCCCCACCCAGTACAGCGCTTCGTTGCCCCATATGGAGCTCCTCCGAAGGTCCCAGTGGTGCAGTTCGCATGCGTATCCCTCACCCAGTACAGCGCTCCGTGATCCCAGAGGGAGCTCCACCGAAGGTCCCAGTGGCGCAATTCGCATGCGCCCTCCCCACCCAGTGCAGCGTTTCGTGGCCCCAGAGAGAGAGAGATCCACCGAAGGTCCCGGGTGGCGCAGTTCGCATGCGTCTCCCCCACCCAGTAAAGCGTTTCTTTGCCCCACAGGGAGCTCCACCGAATGTCCCGTTGGCGCAGTCGCATGCTTTTTCCCCCACCCAGCACAGCCTTTCGTTGCCCCATATGGAGCTCCACCGAAGGCCCCAGTGGCACCGCCCGCATGCGTCACCCCCACCCAGTACAGCGTTTCGTGGCCCCGGAGGGAGCTCCACCCAAGATCCCATTGGCGCAGTTCGCATGCGTCTCCCCCGCCCAACACAGCGTTTCGTTGCCCCACAGGGATCTCCACGGAATGCCCCAGTGACGGTGTTCGCGTGCTCGCCCCCCCACCCAGCACAGCGCTTCGTGGCCCCATGGGGAGCTCCACTGGAGGTCCCAGTGGCTCTACTCGCCTGCGCTTCCCCCACCCAGTACAGCGCTTCGTTGCCCCGCAAGGAGCTCCACCGAAGGCGCCCCAGCGGCGGCCTCGCTCCAGTGTGGCGCGCCGTTCGCGCTTGTCGCGGCCCCGAAGGGCGGTTCCGCGCCATAAAGCACCAGTGGCAGCGCCCACACGGCGGCCCCACCGCACATCGGCACACCCTTCGCATGCTCCATGGCCCCATGGGGCGATTCCCCGAGGGCGATGCCCACAACGACGGCACTCACAACTGCACATGGTTGGGTCCCCCGCCCAGGATCATTTGTAATCTCGCAGCCGCGGCGCTGAAATGAGGGCCAGGTCGGATTCGGAAGGGGCCCGCTGTTTCTCAGGTCCTTCCCTGGTTGGTTGTCCAGCGCCCAAAACAGCTGGACTGTACACAACATTGTAAGGTCATGAGTCATGACGAGCTCACTAAATGTCTATCCCCTGGCCCCTGCGTGCGCGCGGTTGACTCCACGAGTGTCTTTGGGGGTCCAGGGCGCCCAGCTGACGCCTTACTGGGGACAAGGTCCGAGATTCAGTCCCTGCAGCCGTTGGGCATGGCGGCCCTGTCCACCGTGCTGTTTTTTAGAGTGAGCAGAGGATGGGTGGGATCTCTACCTTTGGTGTGCGTCGTTTCCTCCAGAGGTGTTCCGAATTGCCCTCGGTTGGCAGACCTTGCTAGGCATAGGAGGAGAAACTCGGCCTGACCAGCGGATTTGCTAATTCTACCCGGGAAGGTGGCTATGAGGACGGTGTTCGGCAGCAGCAGTGGGGAGGGAGGGGCCGAATATCTTTTAGCCAGGAGGTTCGGATGTGAGCTTTCCCTGGGAGGCTCGTGACGCAGTCCTTCCCTGCGCCCCCTTCTTTCTGGATGCAACTCCTGGGAGATACCGTGGCTGAGAAGAGAAGCGAACTACTATCGCATACTCCCGCCTAATGCCGGCTCATCCCGCAAAGTCCGGTTCGATCGGGCTTCATCCCCGGCTTCACCTGGGCCAGTCCAGGTTCATGGTCCTGAATCTGACTCGGTAGTTTTCGAATCGTTTTGCGAATACTTCCCAGCAGTTGATTTCTGCAACACCTCTCCGCAAGCTCTACCTGCCCGCTCTGGTTTTCGACCCTTCGTGCAGAGCAATTCCGGCCCTGGCCGCCCACTGGACTGAGCTGTCCAGAAACCGAGCATTTTCTTTGGGTGGAGGGCAAAGGGTGAAATCTGAAATGCCGTTTCGACGGATGTTCGAGGCTTGAATCTGCGGAAAAGAATGACAAGACGGCGTGATTTTCGAGGTGCAAAAGCCCATATGGATTTCACCCTGAGCCCTCCACCCTAAGAAAATGCTCAGAGAAAGTACCAGGAAGCTGACTAACACGTGGCGCGGCCGGCCTGAGCGAAAGCTGGATACACACGTGGCCACGTGCCTCTCCAGCCGTCGGCTCTCCTGCCGCCAGGCACGGTGATTCTCCACACGCGTATCCAGCAAGGTGGCTTCCATAGAATCCACCTGTGAATCCAGCCCCAGAGATCCGATGTCGTGTTTTTGTTCAATACGGGGTCCCCGGAAGTCCCGACCCTTTTTCCCGACACCGGCTTTTCGTCCTGAGTCGTTTTTTGACGATGCGAGGCCCGGAGAGGGCCCCTGGGGGCCGAAATTTGCGAAAAACCTCCGTCTTGATTTTTTCGATGCGTTGGATCTCTGGGAATCCGGCCGCGTGCTTGTCTATAGCTTCCTGGTGCCCGCCGAGGCGACAGACCGCGCAGCCTTTAGCGCGCCATGATGCGGCCCGGTGGCTCGTCCGACGTCCGAGTCCCCCGCAGTTTCCGCCTGCTCGACGAGCTGGAGAAGGGGCAGAAGGCCACTGCGTTTTAGTCGGGCCCGTCCCTCTACAGGGGGAATATTCGAACATAGTCAAAAAATATGATGGGGACGATTTTTTGTTCATTTTTGAATTTATTCTGGGCATTTTCGGACTATGTTTGATTTTTCGTAGGGAGACAGGCCCGACCTGACACTACCTACCAGACCACCCCAGCCCGACCCGAAGGTCGCAGACCCCCCCCCAGACATCGCTTGTGGAGGGCGATCCAATGGAGCTTGGCATCGCTCGGACGTGTGCATTTTTCTTTCGGCGAGGACCATCGAGGAGCATCCTTGATCATTTCGTGGAAAAACCACGCACGAAACCGAAAAAAGCACAGGAAGTGGACGTCCGAGCGATGGCCAGTGGAGAGGATTCAGGTTGCCAAATAATTCCCAGATGTCCAAATCATCTGTGAGCATGCTGCTTGAAGCATATCGAAAGCATGTTGAAGACATGTTTAGAACATTTCGCCGACATTGTAAAAACTCAGTTTGAGTTCAAGGATAGGACTGTTGGGTGTCCATTGTCGTGGCAGCCGCAAGACATCGCGTTGGGGGGTGTGCGGGTTCTCTCGATGTTCCCGAGCGTCCCCCCACTGGAAATCGGCAGGCCCAGCAGTTGCTTCGGGTGGGGTTGCAGTGGCCCGGTGGGTAGTCAGCAGGGCGACGCCTCTTCGGGCGTGTCATGGGGGCTGTCGATCCCCGACGACATCACGCTGACCCATTGGAACGGCACGATCTTCGGAACCCAGGGCTCAGTCTTCGAGAACCGGATCTACTGTCTGACAATCACCGCCGGGCCGAAGTACCCGGACCAGCCTCCTGTGGTGAAGTTCGACACGAAGATCAATCTCCAGTGTGTGGACCCGGCCACGGGGGCCGTCGGGCGCCTGCCCATGTTGGCCTCGTGGAGCCGGGAGTTCACCATCGAAGACGTCCTGAAGGGCCTGCGAAAGGAGATGAACGCCCCGAACAATCGCAAGTCGCCCCAGCCGCCGGAGGGGGCCAGCTACTGAGTGCATTGGGGGCACGTATGGGGGGGGGGCGATAGATGGGAGGCAGCGAGAGGTGCAGAAAAGGGGCCCTTTGGGACCCTAAAGGGGCCCTGTAGGGCCCGAGAAAAACTCTTTTTTTGCGGGGTGACCCCAAGAGGGGGTCCAGCTGAAAGGTGTTGGTGCAATAGGTTTTGGGCAATTGTATTGCAAATGTATTGCGCAGGAGAATTGTATTGTATTGTATTGCAAATAATGTATTGCACACGGACATGCAGCAATACATCTGCGCCCCGACGTGTATTGCACGCCCCAAACGTATTGCAACCCCACAAATATATTGCACCAAATCCATTGCACCACCCCCTTGTTGCTGGACCCCCTTTTGGGTCAACCCGAATTGATCGCCCCCCCTTACTTCGCGCCCAAGTGTGGCCGGTAGCAGGCCGGGGGCAGCCCCTGGGTAGTGTGAGCCTCAGGTTGCGGATGGTGGCCGCGTCCCAAGGTGCCCCCCCCCGCCCCCCCAGATCTTCTCTCGAAGAAGAACAAGCGGATCAAGCAGTGGCCAATCTTCTTGGCTCGCCAGTGGGCCCACTAAAGAATATTCTAAGAACTTTTTGTGGTTTGCACGAAATGTTTTATTTCAACTCATCGGGCTTATGTTCTAAGGACATGGTCTTTGTTCTTGAAAAGTTTGTGGGTTCTACGAACATCTCGTGGTAGGCCTATAGGAATGCCAGGACGGTCGGTCCCTGCTCAAGCGGATTGAACCTAAATTCTAGACGCTTCGCGTATCCCCACCAGCCCGTCCAGAAACGACGCCCAGGCGAGTAGAGGGTCGTCCTGAGGGGCTTTTCGGCGTCTTGGGTGCCTCGGGGGGGGGCCTCTGTGGGCCGTTCGGGATCCTCTTTGGGGCCTCCTGGGGGCCTCTTGGGGCCTCTTGGGGCCATCTTGGGGCCTTTGGGGGCCTCCTGGGCGCTTCTTGGGGCCATCTTTGCCCCCTCAGAAGGCCAAAATGGGGCCCAAACCGTAGTAAAAATGCCTCTGGGAGCACCTTGGGTGCCTCTGGGGGGTCTCTTGGGGCCTCTTGGGGGTCTCTTGGGGGCCTCCTGTGGGAGGCTTGGGCTCCTCTTGGACCCGTCTGGGCGCCCTTGAAGGCCCTGCTGGGGCGCTCTTGGGGCAATCTTGGAGGACATCGGCCAAGGAAGTAGGGTTCCTTGATTAGAGCCCCCCCCCCAGGAACTTCACAAATCGTCTCCTGTACCGCTCTGGGACCGCTCTTGGAGCGCTCTTCGGCGCTCTTGGCGCCGTCATGGGGCTTTCTTGGGCCCTTCTTGGAGCTATCTTGAGCCATCTTGGAGCCATCTTGACGCCTCGGATGTGCATCGCAAGCGAGAAAGTGAGAACACCAAAAACATTGATTTTCCCTTGGGTTTTGAAGCATTTTGGCCTCTTGGATGCATCCGAATGATGCTCTTGAGGGCACTTGGAACCGTCTTGGAGAGTTCTTGGAACGTCTTGGAACATCATGGGGACCATCTTGAGGCATCTTGCGCTATCTTGAGCCATCTTGGAGGGTATCTTGGGCTCCCTGAGGCCCTCTTGGAGCCGTCTTGGCCGTCTTGGGCCATCTTGGGCGCTCCAACGCGCCGCGGAACCCCCTGTCCAGGTCAGTGGGGAGGGGGTAGGGGGAGGGGTAAACCCCTCCCCGAAGGGGAAGAGGGAGGGGTGGAAGAGGAAACTCGTTAAACCACCGACGCCCAGAGGGCTGGTGGGATTTTCAACGGTCCGCGCGGATTTCTTGGATCGGCGCTGGGCCCCCCTGGCGGCGCCTCCAGCGCTGCCCCTGACGCGCTCCGCGCGCCAGAGGGGGCCAGCGCAGAAGCAAGCAATCCGCGTGGCCCGTCGACAGTTTATGTTTATGCAGTTTTTTCTTCCTCTACTCTACTGTTAAGTCGGGCCTGTCCCTCCACAGGAGGAATATTCAAAAATATTTGAAAAATAGTCTGGGGGCAACTTTTATTTTTTGTTGTTGGCTATCTTGGAAGTACTTTTGGACTATTTTTAATTTTTCTGCAGAAATCCTCCTGTAGGGGGACAAGCCCGACCTAACTCTAGCGCCGTTCTGGGGCCCGTGGGGCCCTCCGGGTCTCGTGAGGGGTGCTCTGGAGGCCGCCTGTCACCCCCCACCAAGCCTCCAAAACCCGACCCGGAGGCGCGAATCTGCAATCCATTCCCAGGGTGGGGGGGCGTCGGGGAACATTGAAAAACACACGTGCGGAACCCGCACCCCCTCAACCCGAAAGGTCTGTGCCCAGACATGCGACGTCCTGATTTTTCCAGGACGGCGCCCCCAGAAGTCCCGACCCTTTCCCCGGGGCCGGCTTTTCCTCCTGCATCGTTCTCCGACGCTCCCGAGGCTCGGATGGGGGCCCCCCAGGGCTGAAAGTGGCCAAAAACCTCGCGCCCTGATTTTTATGCGACGCGATCGTGTCTGGGTGTGGGTCTGCGGGTTGGGGTGGGGTGGCCTATGGTAGGGGGAGGGAGTTGGAGGAGGAGGAAGAGGAGGAGGAGGAGGAGAAGGAGGAGGAGGGGGAGGAGGAGGAGGAGGAGGAGGAGGAGGTGGAGGAGGAGGAGGAGGTCTAGGTCGTCGGCCTGCCTCCCCTAGGGAGGGAGCGCCGGGGGGGCACCAATGGGCCGGGGGGCCACCCCGGGCAGTCCCCGAGCGGAGCGCGGGAGCGCGCCTGCGTCGAGCAGGGGGTCGACGACGGGATTGATGCAAGCAGTGGCGAAGCGTCCTGGCTCGCCTATAGCCCTACCAACCCAGAGATCCAACGCAATGAAAAAATCAAGACGGAGGTTTTTCGCAAATTTCGGCCCCCAGGGACCCTCGCCGGGCCTCGGGACCGTCAAAAAACGACTCAGGATGAAAAACCGGTCCTGGGGAATGGGTCGAGACTTCCGGGGACCCCGTCTTGAAAAAATCACGACATCGGATCTCTGGGAAACAATGTTCGAAGAACCTGTTGTGGTTTCCAGGACATGTTCTTAGAACATTGCTGGCGGAGTCTGTCTTGCTTTATGACTCATCGGGGATACGTTCTAAGAACCTTGTTTTTGTTCTTAGAACATCTTTGGGGTTCTACGAACATTTCGTGGTAGGACTATAGGAGTGCCGGGACGGTCGGTCCCTGCTCAAGTTTTCTCGCCGAGGCCAGGATGAAGGAATGTTCGTATAGGGTTCGTAGAGCGAGCAACCTGCGTGTTGTTATTTACGGCAAAGAAAAACCTCAATCAGTGGATGGCTTGAAATGGGATCGATCAAGAGATCGATAAGGAGATCGACCAGGAACCCGGGAACCCGAGACCCGCCGACATCGGCCCGGAACCAATAACCAGGAACCCGGGAACCTGGATTTGGGAACCCGGGAACCCAGCCGGCCACCAACATCGGCGGGAAATGTTCGCCAAATCTTTCAATTTCTGCTAGGACCCCTTTAGTGCAAGCACTGATTGGGGAACGAATGGTTTCGATGAGAAAGTACATTTTGGGGGCAAAGCAGTTCTGTAGTCGATCCACTGCTCGCCTTCCTGTGGCCCGGGCCGTCCCCCCGCGGGTACACACTTCGACAGTTCGGTGTGGTGGGGTGGGGGGGGGGCGAGGACCGAAGGGCGAGGAGGAGGAGGAGGAGGAGGAGGAGGAGGAGGAGAAGGAAGAGGAGGAGGAGGAGGAGGAGTAGGAGGAGGAGGAGGAGGAGGAGGAGGAGGAGGAGGGGCGAGGACCGAAGGGGCGAGTACCGGCGCAACCGTTAGCGTGCGGCTTGGCTTGGCGTGGGTTGGCCCTCGATCAAGCAGTGGCGAGGCGTCCGGGCTTGCCTATAGTCGGCGCCCCCCCAACATGCTTATACTGTTTGTGCGTTTCCCCCTAGATTTAGTACATGCGTCGTGGCGGGGGCTTTCTGGCCACACCGCTCGGGAAACGATACTCTACAGGATGGGTGTACGATATGTTCGGGTCGGACGCGCGCCTCCAAGGAGGACGTATAGTAGGATACTGGAGAGGAGCCCAAATCATAATCTGTCGGGGGGCTATGGGGCTATAGGGCCATCGGGCTATGTGGCTATGGGGCTAGAGGGCTAGAGTGCTATTGGGCTGTTGGGTTATAGGGCTATAAGGATATAGGTCTATAGGGCTATAGGGTTAACGGGTTATTGGGTTATAAGACTATCGGGCGATTGGGATACAGGGCAATAGGACTATATGGCTACATGGCTATAGGGCTACGTAGAGGGCTAGAGGGCTATAGCGCTATAGGGCCATGGGGCAATAGGGCTAGATGGCTAAGACCACACAGCGAAGATCAACGAGTTGCATAAAAGAGAAACGGAGTTCGTGAGTCTGCGCTGGGCTCACCTGGCGGCGCCTCTGGCACCGTGTTTGGCGCGCTCGTACGCCCCTGGCGCGCTCCGCGCGCCAGGAACCAGGAAGGACGGCCCAGCGCCGATCCAAGAGATCCGAACGAAGGTCCGAAAGTTTGTGTCCTGTACCGCTTCTTCCTTTTCTGCAAAGAAAAGAAGTCCAGACACAGGGGGGACATTGCTTCTACGCCGGGGCTCCAGGGTGCCAGAACACCCGAGCGGTGTTGGAGGCCGTGCCGGAGGGTCCTGTCCTCTCTCGGGGACTCTGGCAAGTCTTGCGAAGCCTAGTCTCTTGGGCGCGAACGAAAGGGGGGGCGACAAATCGTTGTTGGGCAGCGAGGGCTGCAGAGAAAGCGGCCCTTTGAGGCCCCTGAAGGGGCCCTTTGGGGCCTCAGAGGGGGCCTGCAGGGCCCGAAAAGGGCACCTTCTCCCCCCACCCCAGGTTAAAAAGGTATCGCCCCCCCGCGAAGTCGCGCCCAATAGCCGGCGTATTGGAAGCCCTTCAAGCCACAGCTCTGTGCACGCGCAACGCGGGCCGCCTTGCGGCCGCATCCAGGGCCCGAGGTGGGTGCGCACTGAAGAAGGCTGCTCCCCCGTGCTGCCGC